TTAACCTTTACTTATTTTGTCTTTGTAAAATGGTAATAATTCTCATCTCAGAAATGTGTGTGGATTCAGTATGGTGCTACATATAAATTACAATAAATATTAGTCACTAATTTTCAGATGCTTTTTTCTCTGCTCTCAGAGAATATAAGTACAAGAAGCCACACAATTCAAGCAATGTCTAGCAGTAATGCATCCATTAAAAACATATATTCCAGAGAGTTATCCGGAGCTTGACAGTGGGATTAAAAATAACGTTTATTACTTAACATACACAGATAATGGTTGTGTTTTAACAATATTGTACACAAAGATTGAAAACAGCGTTTTATAGCTCTGACACTTCAGGAGTGTGAAATCACTCCCTGCACTGTTATATATCAGCTGTTAAAATTAATGGGAAATCATCTCCAAGTATTAACGATCTTCTTACATTCTCTACTGAGAACTTCATTTGAGATATATGTATTTCATTAGAAAATCAGTAGAAACACCAAAAATTCTTATAAAACCCATAAGTAATATAACTTACTTTTTGAAGGAACTCGGAGATTGGCGAGGACCACTTCCAGTGAATCAGCTTGGACTCGAAGTACATAGCTCGTCCTTGTCTCATAATCCAGTGGGGCATTCACAAAGATAACACCTGTGATGTTATTAATTCCAAATTTATCTAGAATTTAAAATACAATTCCTTGGTCATTTTCTTCACACCGTAAGGAATAAATTCTCTTTAAAAGGCCCCATGATCTCAAAAACACTAGAAACACTGTAACAAGAGCAATGCAAAAAAAGTGACAAAATGCTGGCTGTTGCGAACTATGTTCCAGCTCTTGAGATGATCAACATCACTGTTTCCCTAAATGCTACCTTGAAATTGTAGATTTTGTTTGTTTGTTTTGTTTTGTTTTGAGATTCTCTTAGAAATCAAAGATTCTTTGAGATTCAGATGGTCTTCAACCATATTAAAGGCTTTCAGAAACTCTGTTTCAAAGAAACTAATTTAATTTTGTTTAACCAAGTATTTTCTTATCTTACTATACATTGTTATAGTCTTTATAATTTAATGCATCTTATCCCGTACATTTAGTGTTCTGCTAAAAACACATAAGAGAATAAACTA